GTCGTCTTATACGCCGGCAAATACGGTATGTGCACTATAATACAACATGCATATCCTGTTCAACTGTACCTGAGTCACACAGGTTCCGATGTGTACTGTGTGTGACACTCCTACATCACACTCAACAGCAAAAGGGATACTTTTCCTTTAATCTCTCTCATTTTACCCCTTCCATATACACAAAGATAAAACTTACTCTATTTTTATGTGCATTCACTGATGCATACCGGACTGTTCCCCGGAAGCCAGCAACATTACGAGGCTAATGGAAAGAAGACACATTAAAAAAAAAAAAATTAATGTAAAAGTATGCAAAGCTGTCCATCTTTTCTTCGTTGTTTACGCCCACAAACCATTTTGATGACGAATATTAAGATGAACTGAGGATCAAATTAGATATTTTGGTTATGGATTAAAGTTGATTTTTGAACAAATCTTTTAGAAACAATAATACTTCCTACTGGAAAACACCATTGTAAGATAAATTGAAATTATCAATTTAAAAAAAATCTAAAAAGATAACATCTTCACAGAAAATACTATAGACCTCAGTGGACAAAGCATAGCAGCAAAATGTTTTTTTTCCCAGTACAAAAAGAGTACAAAAACAACTGGCTTCAGAAATTTAAGAACAAGTTAAAGGTCAAAAATAGATTCAGTTGACTATACATTTCTTACCAAAATGCTTCAGTTGCTAACTCAGTTTCTTTCTATTGCTCCATCTTAATTCACATGGAATCCCTTTGGTGCCAGGAAATAAAAAGTTCAGGAATATCCCTATATATTTTAAAGTACACTTGAAAATATCACATGTGAAAACTATCAGAAACGAATTTGTACATGTGTCTGTGTTTGCATGTGTGTTTGTATACAGAGTATTGTACATATGCATTGTTTAAGAAAAAACCAGGACTGATTATGATTCATAGCTGAGAATAATTTCAGTGTCAATAATTTTGGTTCCTTCCATTGTGCTGAAAAAATTATATATGAAAAACAAACAAAGAGCAGCAACTGGGTTCCCACTGTACTAATGTTTTTGTTGGATTCCACAAAGTATAGATCAGCAATCATCTATCAGCACAATGGGTACCATTAGTGAATTGCCTTTTGCTCCCTGAAACTCCTCAAAAATGCTCCAAGAATTAGAAGGCCAAATACAGGAAGGTGGTACAATGTAGAGCATAAGGATAGGTATTCTGTTGTACAGATAACAATCTAGTTGTGTAACTTTGGACAGAATCTTCTATCTTCAATTATTTAATAATTGAAGCCTGATTTTTAGAATTTACATGATGGAGTGATACTAAAAGAGGGCCATTGCTTATTTAACTCCTAACCATGAGTTTAGTCACATAAATTTAGTCACATAAATAAACATAAATCACCACTGTTATATATTCTATTTTCTGGAACAAATTATTAAATAGCACAGATGATCTTCAGTATATTTGGGAAAATATATTTTTAAAAATTATGATAAACAAAAAAATGTCACAATTGTACTGGCTTAAACAAATATTTTGGTCTCTTTAGCATATGCTAAAACAAAACTTTGAGGAACTATCACTTTCTCTTATTGTTAGGATTCCACAATTTTGGATACATATTTTACATTTCTAAAGGAAATATATTTTCATGTGTGTAAACGGGATTTTGCATCTTCAGCTTTTGCACAATAATTACAAATTTTAAATAGAGATTGTTCTTAAGGCCCAAAGGATTTTCTTTCAACATGATTTATGCAGTCCTACAAGGGCCAAACTCCCATAAATTCAGAATCCAGAAAGCTCCTGGCCTATGCATAAAATATTGAAAGCCAAAATTATTTCATGGAAACAAAATAAATGGAGGGAAAACTCATAATTATATTCATTACTAAAACAAACAAACAAAAAATAAGAAGCATTATGATGGCTCACTCACAACTTATGGTTGAGATGGTTATAAGCAGCAGATGGGAAGCCAACGCATCAAACAGTCTCAAAAAACGAGCCCAAAAGAACTGTAAAACAAAGAGAAACCCAAAGAAAACCATGACAATAAAAATGCAAAATGGAGGGAAACAAAACAGAAACAAATATAAAAACTGGATCAACATTATTATGTCTTCCCCTACAGAAGTGCCTTGTATCTCTTACTCTCGTTAGCTAAGGCTCATCATGCTCTAGACTCAGCTTTGCTGGCTGAGGAATTCTGGGAGTTGAAGTCCACAAGTCTTAAAGTTGCCAAGGTTGGACAGCCTATCCACAGTAGTGCATTGTGGCTCAGATTTTAGAGCAGTGGTCTCAATTTTATAGCCTATGGGCAGATATAGGACCTTCAAGTCATTTTTAATGACCTGCCACAATGCTTTGTGGGCACTAAGGACACTGCCCGGCAAAGCTAGTTCCTTGAGTGGCATGTAAGTGCTCAGGCTGAGTAACAGAAGAACAATAGCAGGACCTGATCAGTCGGGCCACACAGTTCGACTGATCGACTGTGCCAAGTTCGACTGTTGTCTGGAAATCCCACCCACTCTCACACTTCATGACAGATGCTGCTTCCAAAGCAGAGCCAGGCTGTTTGGGCAGGAGCAATGGGAAGATGGGATTTGGCAAGAAAACAGATGAAACAAATCCAGAGAAGGGAGAGAGAAAGGAGCTGAAGAGCAGAGGGGCAAGCCTGGCTACCCTATCTTGAGTTTTTCACAACTCTCCTAGAAATGGGAAAAATAGAAAGCAATAAGCAAGCAAGCAAAATCTCTTGAGAAAAAGGGCAGAAGAAAAGAAAAATGTTTCTTCAGGAAAGAGAAAGAAATAAAGAGAAAAGCAGGGATTTAGACAGCTCTTCCTCTTCAATATGATTCTGAAAAAATATTACATATCAACCCAGTAACAAACCAAATACTAGTGAATGGAACGAATTAATAAAATCACTGAAAAACTAATTGGTGGAGGTGAAATACTGTTTTGCAAGAAACTTTACTGTTTTGCAGTACATTTTTAAAATATAGTTTAATGGCATATCATGATATTCTCCATTTTTGATTCATTGAAGACTTTTGTATCAAAGACTTCAATGTTTTAACCCCTGAGCCAATAAGCTACTCCTCAGAGGACCCCTGACAATTTGAGTTTGAGATTCCAGTTCTAAGGAATGACCCAGTCTTAGCAAGAGAATTATAGTCAATATCCTGTAGTCAATTTCAACAGCCTTTTTTCCCGTGTTCTAGATAGAACAGGGATGTCAAACTCACGTCATCACGGCAGTGTCACGTGACAAATTGGGACTTTTCCCCCCTTTGCTAAACCAGACATGGGTGTGACCTAGGAGTGGGATTCTACCGGTTCGGACTGGTTCTATAGAACTGGTTGTTATGATTCTGTGCAGTTTGGAGAACCAGCAAATCATGCCCCTGGCTGGCCCCTCCCCTCTCTGCCCGCCCCTCCCCTCCCTGTCAGTCCTTATCGTGCATGTGCGACATCACGTGCATGCCCAACATCGCTGACTGCATTCTCCCCTGCCTAGTCTTATGGTTATTTCCTTTGTTCCCCCTCCCGATCAGCTGTTCCAATGATCAGCTGTGCCAAGATCCCCCTCGCTGTCTTACTGCTTCGCCCAGGAAGCTTCCCTGAGGCCCAGAAGGCAAAAAAGGGGCATGTGGGGGGGAAGTGGGGGTGGCACTGCAGCCCCCCCACTCTATTTTTTTGCCTTCCTGGGCCCAAAAACGCCCCCTCAGAAGGCCCAGGAAGCCCAAAAATGGAGCGTAGGGGGGTGCTGCAAAAAAAAGAAAAAAGCCACAACCACCCAGTCACATGGTCACACCCACCTAGCCACACCCACCTAGTCACGCCCACACAACCGGTTGTTTAAAAAATTGAATCCCACCCCTGGTGTGGCCAGCATGTGATGCATCTGCCCCATGGGCTGGGAGTTTGACAGCCCTGTTCTAGAATTTGACAAAAGGTAAGATTAATTGGCAGTTTCTCAGCTAGATCTTCTTCACTGTTTGTTCTAGGGATGGCCATAGTTTGAATCCCTGGGGATCATACTATTCTTTATCTCCAAGATACTTATTTACTAAGGATAACTTCTGTTTCTATTTCCTAGCAAGTAGCTTTTTTTTTTCTAAAGACTTTTTGGATACTTTTTAAAATCTGTTTGTGGGTAATTGGACCTCACATTTTTCTGGGTATAACCATGCCTCCTGAGAAAGGAAAAGTGTATGTATCAGTATATATATCAGCCTGTAATTTAGGCAGATGGACACTATATTCCATTTACTTTACAATATACTGTATCTACCTATTCATCTATATAAGCAAAAGGGGGAAACTTTGCAACAACTGCTGCAGAATGTGGGACCCAGATGGGTAGATTTTTGACAAAATTGTGTGTATTAAGGTAGATCCATCTGTAAAATAGGGAGGCAGCCAAAGCACCTGAGACAGCGCCAATGAGACCTCTGTCCCTTTATCATTTTCAAGTTGAGTTCTTAGTTTATTGAGGAACGGGGGGTGGGGGGGTGGGGGGGTGGGGTGGGGAGAGGATAATTGAAAATATGCCTAGAGCAATGAAGTCAGAAAACTAGAACTAAATGCAAGTGAGCATTGCCAGATCTATCTGAACTTACACTGTAATGATAAAAGCAGTGAAATTCTCTGCATGTAAGTGGTCTGAAAATTCCCACCTGGTAGCCCTATTCAGAGTTACTTGGATCCTTTTATAGGAAGATGCAGGTGAGAAACACCTGTAGGCATGCTGGATAAATTCATGGCTTGGCAGATAAATCCATACATCCATTCATATACATTGTAGATTGGGTAGGAAATGAGCAAAGCCTATGGTGATGAGAGAGAAGGAATTTTGTGTTGTAATCTAGGATAAGTTTGGGTATGTAGAATCTGTGGAAGCAGATAGGGATCGCTTTAATATGAGCACTGCCAATTGTACATCTGACTCATGCCTCTACTGACTGCATTAAATGACAAGTTGAGGCATGAGGCTTTGGATCTGGAAGGCAATCTGTGTAAGTTAAGGGAGATGTTAAGGGAGATGTAAGTTAAGGGAGATGCTTTGAAGTAATTAGTAGTTCTTGAATTCAGCCATGTTTCATAATCCTTGTTTGGTCTCCAACCTCCCATCTGTAGAAGGTTATTGAGAAAATGAAAGGAATCAACTAGAGTAGGGCTGTCAAACTCCTGGCCCATAGGCCAGATGCATCACGCGCTGGCCATGTCCCTGCCCAGTTTAGCGAAGGGGAGGGGAAGTCCTGATACG